ACCAGGTGTCGCAAACCATTTTTATATGTCGCAAATATGGTTGCAACCATCACCAAGAATTGTGACCAGCATCTATAATAACAACAACAACAACAATAATAAAACGGATCAAATAATTTATAATAATAGTAAATTTTCTTTACGATTGTAATCATTCATTCATGCATAACTATGATTGTTAATTATAATAATAAGCATTATATTATTTTGTTTATTTGTAATACGCATATAATTGAATTTTTTTTTTTTTTTTTTAGCAAATAAACGTAATTTTTAATCCGATAAAAAAAAAATTGGAAATAATGATTCAATATGATATTGCTAATTGTACCAATTTTTGAATTTTGATATTTCTTGATTTTTAAAGTAATTATTTCTTTTCTTTTTGCAACAGAAGGATTAATTTTGATAGGAGATGTTGTTGAAACTTTGTTATCTAACGTGGTATTGGATGTTTTGTGATGCGCATCGAAGTCAATATCCACTCTTTTCTTCTATATAAACTGATGAATTAATTTAGAATTTGAATATTGTTTCAAAAATAGATGGATTTTCCATCAATAATATGTATCTAATAGTCTGGATCAATTTTAATTATCAAACTGGTTACTGTATCTAAAAATATTAAATTACCTATTACGATTTGATATTTTTGTAAAGATAGTTAATTATTCCATTTTATTGCCAACAATTAATAAATAATTTTAGTGAAAGTAACTTGGTGGATAATCTTTGAATTTTAATTTCGGCCGAAAGATTTTAAGTAAGAAAGAATCATTAGGTGCGTTTGACATTAATCCTTCAGTTTGAAATATAGTTCAATAGAATTCGCCAAGAAAAAATGATTATAATATAACTGATAACTGATTACTTCTGTAGTGCACATGTTTACAAGCAAGTTGAAAGATATAAAATAATAATGGTAATTATGTAGGGATAAGGAGGAAAAAGGAATTATGGGTTTTTTAAAAATCAATTAGTTGGTTAGATTTTTGTCGCGGGGAAATTTTTAAGAATTGCAGTCAACGCAATAAAAATTATCCACCGCCTTTGATTTTGCTCTTATGCTTCCCAAAAAACCTAGTTTAATAAAGCCAAAGAACGAATAAAGACCGTTTTTTGATATCAAATTTGAACTTTTCATATTAATATTTTTTTAATATTAATGTTAATGTTATATTTATATTAATATTTAATATTTAAAAATATATGATATATAAATATAATAATGAATGACCTGGAAAAAAATTCAGCAAGATTTCAAATGTAAATTATAAGTAAAAATTTTAATAAACATTGAATTTTCTTTAAAAAAAGAACATTATCAATCGCAAAATTTTGAAACGAGGTTTGTGTTATGTAACAATGGCGTCTGTCATGAAACAGTAAACATGCATATGTGAAACTGGCCGATTGATGTGAGATTCCTATATAATTAAATCAAATTAAGTAATGTCGATCAATATTTTTAAATAAAACAATATAAATAAAAATTCTATCAGAGATACAAATATAAATGAATCAAAATTCTAGGTTATAGAGATTTTTTTTATATATTCTAAAGAAATTGAAAAAAGATTACTAATAGAAAAATTTTATAACCAAATGAGATAGGGAAAAAAGCTCTATGGATTTATTATAGAAGACTTAAGCAATAAAACCATAAAAAGGTTATTACGAAAAAAAAAAAAGTTATTATTATCATGGTTTAAAGTTATTCTATTATTATTAATTTTACCCTAAAAATTTACATTGTAATTGATGAAATTTCTTTTTATAATCCATGTTTTCAAAAAATATATTCTTGGTTGAATTTTGTTGTCAAACATTTACATGCAGCACATAATAATAATAATTGCTATATATATGTTTGATGATCATCAGCCATCGAACACACAAAAACTCCACAAAAATGAAATTAGATTATCAATTGCAAACCGGTTTACGTTTTTATTAAAACTGGTTCCAACCTCTAATTCATATTAATATATATTCTTATCTACACAAAAGAGAATTAATCTTTAAACACTGAATTGGTAATTTGAAGAAATAAAAATAATTATCATGTGTAAATGTTTTGATGAACACATCACCTCATAAAATGCTCATTCAAACTATAAAATTTACCAAATTTTAATGATACATTTTGAGATCTGAAAACGACAAATTTATTACAGATACGTGCATGTTGGCAAATTTTGTAAGATGCGGTAATAATATATTTATATATTTTTGTAAATTACACAAACTAATGAAATATTTTTTTCTTAATATTAAAAATTCATTCCTTTTACGAAAATTGACAATAATAATAAATGAACATCCAGCAACATTTTGACGTTATTATTATAGGCGGTGGTGTTGCGGGGTCATGTACAGCAATAAGACTGGCCCAGTTGTTCAATTTGGCAGCTACAACTTGGCGGAAAATTTTAGTTATTGATGAGAGAGCTCCAAATGCAGAAACGTTTAAAGTTGGAGAGTCCTTGCCGGGAGAAGCAAAATCTACACTTCAGTCGTTGGGTGTACTTGAGGCAGTAAATAACGATGCAATGCAAGGTATTGATATTTGAACAATTATTTTACGACAGAAACCCATGCACCTTTACTAACGTCCACTTTATACTTACTATAAGGAAAACATAACTTTTGTTACGAAAATTGTTCTGCATGGGGTTCTGATGATTTACTGGGTACTAATACAATATTCAACATTTATGGTGAGGGGTTTCATTTGGATAGGCTTCTATTTGAGGAAACGCTGCTTAAAACTGCTGTGTTGGAACATGGTCAACTTATTACAATTATGCGTGATTCTAAGGTGACTGAGTTATTCCTCTCCAAAAATATTGATCAAGGGGATGCACATTGGAAGATTACGATTTCAAGCGACGGTAAACTTATTTTTTCCTTTTTTTTTGCAAATTAAGATCTCATTAAATACTGGTACCTTCGTTATTATATATTACTAGAACCATCTCATCCACACCAAATTCACGGGAAAGCCCTCATTGATGCAAGTGGCCGTCGCTGTTGTATCCGAAAATGTTTACCAGATTTAAAACGAAATTCTTCCGACAAG